GTCAATGAATGGTTAGAGAAATTTACATAGGAGACTGGACCAAGGGATGAATTCTAATAACCTTTACTGAAAAAAGAATCTGTGGAGCCAGCCCGGTGTCTCATGCATGAAATTCCAGCATTTTAGGAGCCCAGAAGGGCAGATTACTTGACCTCAAGAGTTCAAGACCAGCCTGTCCAACATGGTGAAACCCTGCATTTACTAAAAATACAAAGATTAGCCAGGGGCTTTGGTGCCCACCAGGGATCCCAACTAAAGGGGAAGCTGAGGCACCAGTAGCAAGGTACTCCTTGCTCTTGATGGTGCCATTTACAGATACCACACGTTCTATTAGGAGCAGGGTCCTCCTTGAGATCCTCAGAGGAGGTACTGTGTGCTATCACTGTGTTTCCCCCGGTGTCTGCAGAACACTGCTTTGCCTACTGGGCCACAGCAGAAACCGGAACCAAATGGAAGTTCAGTAGCCTCAGACATTTAGACCAACAGACTGGATGCTACTTGTCTGTAGGATTTTATACGGTACAGAGAGGATTCCTGTAAACATGATTTAGTCTTTTGCTGAGAAAAACAGGTGGTTCTCTGCCTGTGTCAGAAATCAATAGCAGGGATTGTAACCCCAGTACCACACCCATGTTACTAAAGACATGGAAAAGTTGCTAGATACTTTTGCCTCTGTCTTTCATCTTTAACAAAATGTTAAAATAACCATTTCTATTTTCTACAAGTATGGGAAGGATGAAATTAATTTTGATGAAGAAAGAGGTTAGTTTCTCAAAACAAGACAGGACATTATTCATCAATTTCATGGTGGTCAACCTATACAACTTACTGTATGTCTTCAGCCGGTAGTTCAGGAAGTAGGCCACCTGACTCATAAGAAGTCTATTTTTGCTGGCTCCGAAAGTCGGTTTGTTTTCTTCCTGTTGGCAGCAGGATTTCTCAATGCCTTCTGGAACGTTCACCTCTGTGTTTGTTCTGGAAGGAGGCCTGTCAGATGCCACCATGGTGACATTTGGGGCAGAACACAAAAAGCCAGGGACTGGGGAGAAGAAACCCAAACATATGATGGATTAGAAACTGGTGACGTCAAATTGGCTTAATCGGGACTGAGGGATGTCACTGACAGCCTTGCTCATTGATTTGAAGGTGTCATTTCCCCGCTTTTACTCTTCTCATCTACAATCTCGATCTCCTTAAAGTCAACTTGTCTTACCTACGCAGTCACCTTGAAACTCGGAAATAAACACTTCTACCTTTATCTTGCTTATACGTTTTGCAGGATCTTATATGGTACAGAGAAGATTCCTGTAAACATGATTTGGCCTTTTGCTGAGAAGAACAGGTGGTTCTGTGCCTGTGTCAGGAATCAATAGCAGGGATATTAACACTAGTCCCACACGCACCTTACTGCAGACGTGCAAAAGTTGCTAAACACATTAGCCTCTGTCTTCCATCTTTAACAAAATGCTAAAATACCCATTGCTATATTCCTAGAAGNCCTTACTGCAGACGTGCAAAAGTTGCTAAACACATTAGCCTCTGTCTTCCATCTTTAACAAAATGCTAAAATACCCATTGCTATATTCCTAGAAGTATGGAAAGGATGAAATTACGTTTGAAGAAGAGAGTGTATCATTTCTCAGAAAGAAGACAGGATATTGTTCTGCACTTTCATAACAGTGAATCTATAGAACTTACTTTCTCTCTTCAGCCAGCAGCCCAGGTAGTAGGCCACTTGACTCATAAGAAGTTTATTTTTGCTGTCTCTGCATTTCTGTTCTTCATTCTGATCTTTTCGATCTCCTGTAAACAAATTCAGAAGAGCAGGTCACATTAAGCAAATCACACTTCACACAAGACCAAATCAGTGTCCACTCATAGCACAAGGACTTAAAATATTCTTGGTGTAAGAATGTGGTATTCTGACAGGATTGTTCTAACGGGCCCTAGACTAAATTGCCCTAGAAGTATATGAGCCTGCTTTTCAGATCCATGGAACAAAATCCCTCCTCTGGTAGATCTTAATCATATCCTCTGACCTAAGTCAGTATAAAAAATTAAAACGTTTTCCCCCAAATCTTCCAAAAATTGCCCTAACTACTTTCCAGCAGTGTTGCTGCAATATTGATTTATCTCATCATATGTCATGGTCAATGAATGGTTGGAGAAATTTATATAGGAGCCTGGACCAAGGGATGAATTCTAACAACTTTTACTGAAAAAAGAATCTGTAGAGCCAGCATGGTGGCTCATACCTGGAATCCCAGCACATTAGGAGGCACAGGAGGGCAGATCCCTTGACCTCAGGAGTTCAAGACCAGCCTGGCCAACAGGGTGAAACCCCGCCTCTACTGAAAATACAAAAGTTAGTCAAATGTGGTGGTGCCCACCGGGGACCCCAGCTGATTGGCAGGCTGAGGCAATAGTACCACAGTACTCCCTGCTCTTGATGGAGCCACTTACAGATACCACAGGTTCTATTAGGAGCAGGGTCCCCTTTAAATTCCCAACAGCTGGTACTGTGTGCTATCACCGTGTTTCCCCCAGCGTCCCCAGAACACAGCTTTGCCTACTGGGCCTCAGCAGAAACCAGAACTGAATGGAAGTTCGGTAGCCTCAGATATTTAGACCAACAGACTAGATGCTACTTGTCTGCAGGATCTTAGGTGGTACAGAGAGGATTCTTATAAAAATGGATTTAACCACTTGCTGAGAAACACAGGTGGTTCTGTGCCTGTGTCAGAAATCAATAGCTGGGATTCTAACCTTAGTCCCACACCCACCTTACTGCAGACATGGACAAGTTGCTAAACACTTAGGCCTCCGTCTTCCATCTTTAACAAAATGTTAAAATACTCATTGCCATTTTCTGCAGGTATGGGAAGGATTAAATTAATTTTGATGAAGAAATCGGTTAGTTTCTCAAGACAACACAGGACATCATTCATCACTTTCGTGGTGGTCAACCTATAGAACTTACTGTATGTCTTTAGCCGGTAGTTCAGGAAGTAGGCCACCTGGCTCATAAGAAGTCTATTTTTGCTGGCTCTGTAATTTGGTTTGTTTTCTTCCTGCTGGGAGCAGGATTTCTCAATGCCTTCTGGAACGTTCACCTCTGTGTTTGTTCTGGAAGGAGGCCTGCCAGATGCCACCATGCTGAAGTTTGGGGCAGAACATAGATAGCCAGGGACTGGGGAGAAGAAACCCAAACACATGATGGGTTAGAAAATGGTGACGTCAAATTGGTTTAATCGGGACTGAGCGATGTCACTGACAGCATTGCCTATGATTTGAAGACGTTGTTTCCCTGCTTTTACTCTTCTTACCTCCTCTCTTGATGTCCTTAAAGTCAACTTGTCTTAGCTACCACCTTGAAACATGGAAATAAACACTTCTACCTTTATATTGCTTATAAGTTCTGCAGGATCTTATATGGTACAGAGAGGATTCCTGCAAACATGATTTAGCCTCTTGCTCAGAAATACAGGTGGTTCTGTGCTTGTGTCAGGATCATTTGCTGGGATATTAACACTAGTCCCACACTCGCCTTACTGCAGACGTGCAAAAGTTGCTAAACACATTAGCCTCTGTCTTCCATCTTTAACAAAATGCTAAAATACCCATTGCTATATTCCTAGAAGTATGAGAAGGATGAAATTAAGTTTGAAGAAGAGAGTRTATCATTTCTCAGAAAGAAGACAGGACATTGTTCAGCACTTTCGTGACAGTGAACCTATAGAACTTACCTTCCGTCTTCAGCCGGCAGCCCAGGTAGTAGGCCACTTGACTCATAAGAAGTTTATTTTTGTTGTCTCTTCATTTCTGTTCTTCATTATGATCTTTTCGATCTTCTATAAACAAATTCAGAAGAGCAGGTCACATTAAGGAAATCACACTTCACACAAGACCAAATCAGTGTTTGATCATAGCACAAGGACATAAAATATTCTCAGTGTAAGAATGTGGTATTCTGACAGGAACGCTCTAATGGTCCCTAGATTAAGTCACCCTAGAAGTATATGAGCCTGCTTTTCAGAACCATGGGACAAAATCTCCCTCATACGGTAGATCTTAATTATATCCTCTGACCTAAGTCAGTGCAAAAAATTAAAACTTTTTCCCAAAATCCTCAAAAATTGCCCTGCTTTCCAGAAGGGTTGCTGCAATACTGATTTACCTAATCATACATCATTGCCAATCAATTGTTAGAGAAATTTATATAGGAGTCTGGACCAAGGGATGAATTTTAACAACCTTTACTGAAAAAAGAATCTGTGGAGCAGGCATGGTAGCTCGCGCCTGGAATCCCAGCACTTTAGGAGGCTCAAGCAGGCAGATCACTTGACCTCAGGAGTTCAAGACCAGTCTGGCCAACATGGTGAAACCCCGCCTCTACTAAATATACAAAAATTAGCCAGATGTGGTGGTGCCCACAGGGGATGCCAGCTAATTGGGGAGTTGAGGCACCAGTACCAGGGTACTCCCTGCTCTTGATGGTGCCACTTATGGATACCACAGGTTCTATTAGGAACAGGGTCCCCTTCCAGTGCCTCACAGTGGGTACTGTGTGCTATCACTGTGTTTCCCCCAGTGTCCCCAGAACACAGCTTTGCCTACTGGGCCTTAGCGGAAACCAGGACCGAATGGAAGTTCAGTAGCGTCAGACATTTAGACCAGCAGTCTAGATGCTACTTGTCTGCAGGATCTTAGGTGGTACAGAGAGGATTCCTGTAAACATGATTTAGCCTTTGGCTGAGAAAAACAGGTGGTTCTGTGCCTGTGTCAGAAATCAATAGCTGGGGTTGTAACCCCAGTCCTATACCCACCTTACTGAAGATGTGGAAAAGTTGCTAAATATTTTTGCCACTGTCTTCCATCTTTAACTAAGTGTTAAAATACCCATTGCTATTTTCTACAAGTATGGGAAGGATGAAACTAATTTTGATGAAGAGAATGGTTAGTTTCTCGAGACAAGACAGGACATCATTCATCACTTTCATGGTGGTCAACCTATAGAACTTACTGTATGTCTTCAGCTGGTAGTTCAGGAAGTAGGCCACCTGGCTCATAAGAAGTCTATTTTTGCTGACTCTGATATTCTGCTTGGTCTCTTCCTGCTGGGAGTAGGAATTCTCGATGGTATTTGGAAAGTTCGTCTCTGTCGTCTTCCCGGAACATGTCCTGCAGGATGCCACCATACTGACATTTGGGGCACCACAGGGAGAGCCAGGGACTGGGGAGAAGAAACCCAAACACATGATGGATTAAAAACTGGAAATCAAATGGTTTTAATCAGGACCGGGGGATATCAGTAACTCAAATTCTTAACTTACTGTTGAGAAAAACCTGATCCCTCCTCACAGTACTTTAGGGTCCTTAACCACAAAAACAAGGTTCGCAATGCTTGAGCTGAGAACTGAAGGCGCTGTCTGCAGCTCAGACTCTGACAAGAGTGTGGGAGAGAGTGGCCAGTGCCCCAGGTAACGGTCTGCTGTTGCAACAACAGAATTAGAAGCTGGGCGTGTCATGGAATCTTAGGAGCCCTTCATTCCATTGCCCAGGGTTTGCTAAAACACAGGCCTCCTGGTCTCACCTGAGGTCACAACAGATGGGGACCATTACTCTATAAGCCACTCTCAGTATTTGTGTACTGTTGTGACAATGCCACAGTCCCATTTCATTCCCAATACATCTAAGCATGTGCCTCATTTTTCATCTCTTATGTGTATAAAACCGTCAAGGCAGAAACAGTTTCCCAACACATGATACCTTCTTAATGCTGGTCATGAAGTCAGTCACCTCTCCTTCTCAAATGTTAAAACAGAATTTAAGGCTTTTCCACAAGTTTAAGATATCAATCTATTACACTGTCATGATATCCTCTGAGTCTTCTGCAATTTTTTCTGTATCCACTAGAAAGTCAATGAGTAATTCATTTCTTAAAAATGTTTTCTTTCCTGGCTCAATATTCTTCTTGCTGCATCCCATGGTTATGCTGATTTAGCTTTTCTTACTGGCAGATACCACTACACTGATGTTTGTGGCAGAAGAAGCTTTTTATTACACTTAAGACCAGTGTGATGTCCCTATGTCCAAAGCTTCCTCTATGTGGAGTGATTTGTTTTTTAATGTGACTGCACACTACATCTCATTCTTGTCACTTATGGGTATCATTCTAGTCCCAGAAGAGCTCTTTTCAAGGTATCAAGTCATCAATATCATTTCTATAGAGATCTCCTGAAAACACGTGTGACCATCTTTCTTGGGAAATCTTGTAAACCTGATATGATTTTGTTTTCATTTTGTTTTTTCCATATGTTGAAAATAACAGGGCCATGAGTGGTCCTTATGGAATACTGTTTGATAGATATTTTTCTGAGTTGGTCTAACACCATTGATGTGTGGTTGCATCCCACTAACCAAACACAGCAAGATCAAGGTGATAGTCAGGGGTGGTTGGTGGTCCTCCGTGTTGCTGTGCAATAGAAGGTGAATTTGAGATGAGAGGAACGAGTAGGGAAGAGTGATCACCTGAACCACCTCCTCACTTTCTCAGCTTTCATTGCCACCTAGGTTTTGTGAGCCTGAGACTTGGGAGACTGTTCTGTAGCCCAGGTCTCCTATGTTTGGCTGCTGGGCTTGCCTGAGTTGA